CCCACTCATCAAAATAAGAAAAACAAAGTCTCAGTAAACGCAAAATCTACAAAAATGAAACAAACAAAAAAGTCTACAAACGAAAGGAATTCAGCACAATAGAGTCAGAGGAACAAAGAAGACATCAGCACCACAAAAAAAAAGCACTACAAAATGACAGCAGTAAACTTACACCTACCAATAATCACACTGAACATAAATGGCTTAAATGTACCCATAAAGAGAGAAAAAAACAGGACACATCAATATGCTGTCAACAAGAGACACACCTTAGAAACAAAGACATAACTGTATTAAAAATCAAAGCATGGAAAAAAATATCAAACAGCAACTAAAAAAGAGCGGGAGTGGCAATACTAATCTCAGATAAAACAGACTTTAAAACAAAATCCTCCATAAAAGACAAAAAGTTACATTATGTAATGATTAAAGTGACAATACAGCGTGAGGACATAACCATAATAAATTTCAATGCTCCAAAATACGTAAGACAGACTCTAACAGCACTGAAAAGAGAAATTGACAGCTCCCCAATAATAGTAGGAGACTTCAACATGCCATTGTCAGTAAAGGACAGAACATCTAGAAAGAAACTCAAAAAGATGACAGAAGATCTAAATGACACAATCAGCCAACTTGATCTCATAAACATATATAGAACACTCCACCCAACAGCAGCAAGGTACACTTTCTTTTCTAACACGCATGGAATGTTCTCCAGAATAGACCACATCTTAGGCCACAAAGCAACCCTCAGCAAAATCCAAAACATTGAGATAATGCAAAGCATCTTCTCTGATCACAACGCCATTAAAGTAGAAATTAATAACAGGAAGAGCAAGGAAGAAAATACATGGAAACTGAATAATACCTTGCTTAAAAACCATTGGGTAATAGAAGAAATCAGAGGTCATAAAAAAATTCTTAGAATCAAACGAGAATGAAAACACATCATACCAAAACCTTTGGGACACAGCAAAGGCAATGCTCAGAGGTCAGTTTATAGCAGTAGATGCACACATCAAAAGAAAGGGACAAAATCAAAACATTAGCTAGATAGCTCGAACAAATAGAAAGAGAACAGCAAAAGAAGCCCACAGCAACAAGAAGAAATAATAAAGATCAGAGCAGAAGTAAATGAAATAGAGAATAGAGAAACAATAGAAAGAATCAACAAAACCAAAAGTTGCTTGTTTGAAAGGATCAACAAAACATTGGCCAAATAGACAAAAGAAATATAGGAGAAGATGCAAATAGCCCAAATAAATGAAACAGGGGACATTACAACAGACCCAACTGAAATGAAAAGGATCATAACAGAGTACTATTAAAAACTATTAAAAAACGGGGTTTGGAAACCCTGATGACGTAGTGGTTAAGAGTTTAGCTGCTAACCAGAAGGTCAGCAGTTTGAATCCACCAGGCGGTTTTTGGAAACCCTGTAGGGCAGTTCTACTCTGTCATATAGGGTTGCTATCAGTCAAAATCGACTCCGCGGCAGAGAGTTTGGTTTTATTGAAAGCTATACTCCAACAAATTTGAAAACCTAGAGGAAACGGAAAAATTTTCAGAAACACACTACCTACCTAAACTAACACAAACTGAGGTCGAAAATCTGAACAGACCCGTAGAAAGAGAAGCAATTGAAAAGATAAAAAAAAAAGAAAAACTCCCAACAAAAAAAGAGCCCTGGCCCAGATGGCTTCACTGGAGAATTCTACCAAACAAAGAAGAGCTTGCACCAGTACTACTCAGACTAGAACATAGAAAAGGAAAGAATATTTGGAAATTTATTCTGTGAAGCCAGCGTAAACCTGATACCAAAACCAGGCAAAGATACCACAAGAAAAGAAAATTATAGACCAGCATCTTTGATGAATATAGATTCAGAAATTCTCAGCAAAACTGTAGCCTGTACAGTTAATCATCATGTCAATAAAACAATATACCATGACCAAATGCGATTCATACCAGGTTTACAAGAATGATATAACATTAGAAAGTCAATCAGCGTAATCTACCACATACATTGAACAAATGAATCACATGATCATCTCAATTGATGCAGAAAAGGCATTTGATAACATCGAATATCCATTCCTGATACAAATTCTCAATAAAATATGTATAGAAGGGAAATTCCTCAACATAATAAAGGGTATCTATACAAAACCAAAAGCCAGCATCACTCTTAATGGAGAGATGCTGAAAACATTCCCCCTGAGAACAGGAACAAGACAAGGAAGCCCTTTATCACCACTCCTATTTAACATTGTGCTGGAAGTCCTAGCTAAAGCATTAAGGCAAGAAAAAGAAATAAAGGGCATCCAAATTGATAACGAAGAAGTAAAGCTATCCATATTTACAGATGATAATGGTACTATACGTAGAGAAATCAAAGGACTACCCAGGGAAACTACTGGAACTAATAGATTCAGCAGAGTAGCAGAATACAAGATTAAAACATACTAAAATCAGTTGGATTCCTATACATCAGTAAAGAGAATTATGAAAAGGAAATCAGGAAAGCAATATCATTTATAATAGCCCCTAAAAAAAGAAAATACTTATGAATAAATCTAACCAGGGATGTAAAATACCTGTACAAAGAAAACTACAAAACACTACTGCAAGAAACCAAAAGAGACCTACATAAATGGAAGAACATATCATGCTCATGGGTAGGTAGACTCAACATTGTGAAAATGTCAACTCTGCCCAGAGCAGTTTACAAATACAATGCAATCTTGATTCAGATACCAACAGCATTCTTTAATGAGATAGAAAAACTAATCATTAACTTTACATGGAAAGGAAAGAGACCCCAAATAAGTAAAGCACTATTGAAGAAGAAGAGTAAAGTAGGAGGATTCGCACTACCTGACTTCAGAACCTGCTATACAGATGCAGTAGTCAGAACAGCCTGGTACTGGTACAGTTGACCAATGGAACAGAATTGAGAACCCAGATGTAAATCGATCCATAACTAATAATACACAGACACCAGAAGATAAGCTAGATAATTGGGATCTTCTAAAAATTAAACACTTACGTTCATCAAAAGGCTTCACCAAAAGAGTAAAAAGAGAAGCTACAGACTGGGAGAAAATTTTTGGCTATGACAAATCCAACAAAGGTTTAATCTCTCAAATCTGTAGGAAAATCCAACACCTCTACAACAGAAAGACAAATAATCCAATTAAAAAATGGGCACACGAAATGAACAGACAGTTCACCAAAGAAAACATTCAAATGGCTATCAGACACATGAGGAAATGCTCGCGATCACTAGCCATTAGAGAAATGCAAATCAAAACTATGATGAGCTACCATCTCACCCCAATATTACTGGCATAAATAAAAAAAACAGAAAACAACAGATACTGGAGAGGTTTTGGGGAGATTGGAACTCTTACGCACTGCTGGTGGGAATGTAAAATGTTACAACCATTTTGGAAAATGATATGGTGCTCCCTTAAAAAGGTAAAAATAGAAATACCATATGATCCAGCAGTCCCTCTCCTAGGAATATATCCTAGAGAAGTAAGAGCTGTCACAGGAATAGACATTTGCACACCTATGTTCATTGCAGCATTATTCACAATAGCAAAAAGATGGAAACAGCTTAAGTGCCCATCAACAGATGAGTGGATAAACAAACAGGTATATAAACACAGTAGAAAACTACGCAACAATAAAGGACAGTGATGAATCTGGAGGGCATTATGCTGAGTGATATAAGCCGATCACAAAAGGACAAATATCGTATGAGACCACTATTATGAAAACTCATGAAAAGGTTTCTGCACAGAAACAAACAATCTTTGATGGTTATGAGGGAGGGAAGGGGTGGGGATGAAAAAACACTAAGTAGACAATAGATATGTGGTAACTTTGGTGAAGGGTAAGACAGTACACGATACTGGGGAAACAAGCACAATTTGACTACGGCAAGGTCGTGGAAGCTTCATAGATACATCGAAACTCCCTGAGGGACCTAATTACTGGGCTAAGGGCTGGGGACCATGGTCTCAGGGGACATCTAGCTCAATTGGCATAACATAGTTTATAAAGAAAATGTTCTACATCCTACTTTGACAAGTAGTGTCTGGGGTCTTAAAAGCTTCGTCTGGAGCAACGGAGAATGAAGAAAACCAAAGACACAAGCGAAAGATTAGTTCATAGGACTAATAGACCACAACTACCACAGCCTCCACCAGACTGAGTCCAGCACAACTGGATGGTGCCCGGCTACCACCAGAGACTGCTCTGACAAGGATCACAACAGAGGGTCCTGGAGAGAGAAAAATGTAGAACAAAGTTCAAAGTCACAAAAAAAGACCAGACTTACTGGTCTTACAGAGACTGGAGAAACCCTGAGAGTATGGCCCGCAGATACCCTTTTAACTCAGGACTGAAGTCACTCCTGGGATTCACCCTTCAACAAAAGAGTAGACAGGCCCATAAAATGAAATGAGACTAAATGGGAACACCAGCTCAGGGGCAAGTATGAGAAGGCAGGAGGGGACAGGAAAGCTGGTAAAGGGGAACCCAAGGTCGAGAAGGGGAGAGTGTTTACATGTCGTGGGGTTGACAGCCAGTGTAACAAAACAATATTTGTATTAATTGTTTACTGAGAAATTAATATGCTCTGTAAACCTTCTGGTGAAGTACAATTTAAAAGAGACTTTATGATCTCTTTGATGATTTTTTTATTCTTTTCCAAATGCTCTTTAATTTTTATTAAATTATACAAATTAGATTATGTGCACTCTTTCTCTGATTTTGAAGAATGGTCAGTACTGAATTGATGTGAAACTATGTTTGGACTTCAGCTTATTAAAGTTGGTTGAAGTATTTCACTGAATTCTCAATTTAGGGAATCATATGTTGTCATTTTCTGGATATTGAAAAAAAGTAATTATTTAGCTTCAGATGCCTTCAACATAAAGATTACTCATGATTTCATGTATTTCTGTCTTTTTTTTGCTTTCTAATAGGCTTTCAAGGATATGTTGTATTCAGCTCAGGACCAGGCACCTTCTGTGGAAGGTAAGAGCATTTGCCCCTACGTTTAGTCACATAACATCTCTTTTTAGGGGAAGATATTTTAAACTGTAAAGTATAAAACTAGTTTGATCACCTTCCCTGTTACATAGATATTTTTGCTTTTGATAATATATATTATGGTTATACTTCAACCAAAATTTTTCTTTTGTCTAGCTCATATTTTCCCTATGATGGATCTCTTATAGTAAATACCCTTATGTTACCTTAGGACTGTGATCACAGATAACTGGCTTAGATTCAGGGTTCTTGTCTGTGTCATGCTCCTTCTCTTCCTTTCAATGTATTTTTCTTATCTATCTGTCTGTTATTGAATCCTTAGTTCTTAATAAATCTGGGCAACACAGTTTTTCCTTTCTATATCATGTCTTTAGAGTGGAACTAGTTAGACTGTAGAGCATGTTTACTGTGGTTGTGTGTGTATGTTTATACATGCATGTATATGTATGCATGTGCACAGTTTGGCCATCATGAAATGACTGACCTGATGGCAGTGGTTACCTCCTCAGTTGTCTTTATTGATCCTGCCTTTTCTGTTAACCTCAACTTCTGCTCACCAGCTCATTCTTTATGGGTTTAACTTTTGATAGGTTGGAGAGATATAAGTTAAAGTCGTAGGAGTTCTCATGTTAGTAAATAATTATGAGCTAATCCAACAACTGTTTCTTGAGTCAATGTTCCATGTGTGGCTGGGTATTCTTTTAAAATTTCACATCAGGTTTTTTCAGGAGAGATGAATGAAAAATATAAGCCAAGAATATTGTATATAGTATATATTGATAATGTATTTATGAGACACCAAATTAGGTTTTTAATTAAAAATATCATTCTCTCTAGTGACATAGAAATACACATCTTTCATCTCTAACCATTCTGAATTCAAAATATGCTTCCTTCCAACATCTAAGAATCTTATCCCTTTCCTTTTTTGACCGGGGTATTAACACTTAGATACTAATTAGTTCTTTAATATGTCATTGAATTTTGGTCTGTAATATATATAGTTCTCTAATATTTAATCCTAGGACACTTAAGATTTATCAAAATGTTTAGTTCTGTATTGGGTTAATCCTTCCTTATGTGTTCTGAAGAGTACCTTCTCAAAATACTTTAAGAATGTAACAAAAATGAAATTATATGCACTTTAAGCTGATTTCCTATTCTGTGTAACTTGTGTAAATATTGGTTCTTTTAATTTTATTCTTAAGGTAGGACTACCTATCTTTAATTTTTTCTTTTTTTTTTTTTAAGTTTTACCATCTGGTTTGTAACAAAGACAGTCTGAGATATGTTCAAAGTTATCGTAATGTCTAGTCATCCCCTACATGCTGAAGCATGTTCCTGGTAATTTTTTTCATTCTCTTCCTGCTGTTACTAGAGAAAAACTGAATTCTTTTTTTTCAATTTAGTAATTTTACTTCAAGGTCTTATTAAAATTGAATTCTTTGAAACATGCTCAAAATGACAAATACTTACAGCTAAGAACTTTTTCTTTGTCTCTTTGCCCAGAGATATGAACTTCTTTGGAATTTATTATAGAGGGAGTATTGTAGGCTGGTCATGCAGGAGCACATGCTGCTTTCATGTGGGAAATATTCTGCACTTGTTCTTTCTTTCTACAGTCATGTAAACAGACTATAAGGCCATGTAGTTTTTATTTTCTTAAATGTGAATTTTTTTCTTTTGAATCATTGGAGAATTGAAGGTATTAGAAAGTGGTTTAAGGAGATACTATTCTATGTGTATTGATATTAGAAAAAATTATTAAAGAGATGTAATTGTGTCTTATTTGCATTGTGGTTCTGTATTTACTATCTTCTGTGTGGTGCTAAATTTAAATGATGATAATTTATGCATTTCCTTTATCTTTGCTAAAAGATTGATTGAGTTTGTATTTCTAGGCTTTTGTTAACAGTTGTCTATAAAATAATGTAGTATGTGCAGATTTATCAATGAAGTCCAAGATAGGATTTTAAATTTTTAACATGTTACAAAGAAAAAAAATGTTAGCTAGACCTAGTTTAGTTTCTTGAATGTTGTCTTTCTTTTCATTCTCCTTTATTCCTGCCCCTTAAGTTTTAGTAGACATAAAACCTTTGGTGTCAAAGGGCAACTTTCTTTTTTAATCTTAAAACTTGAGTATACCATAAATTGTCATTGTTAGTTGCTGTAGAGTCATTTCTGACTCCTGGTGACCCCCTGGGTGCAGAGTAGAGCTGTTCCATAGGGTTTTCAAAGCTGTGACCTTTTGGAAGCAAATTGCCAGGTCTGTCTGCCAAAGAGCCTCTGGGTGGGTTTGAACCACCAACCTTTCGGCTTGTAGTGGAGAGCTTAACTCTGCCACCCAGGGAATCTGGCTGCACATTAAACGCACCTGAGAGTCATTTTACAAATATTGTTACTTGATCCTCATCTCAGACCAGCAAAAATAGAATCTGGGAGTAGAGCCCAGGCATTGGTATTTTTACAAGCTCCCCAGATGATTCTAATATATAGCCAAAGTCAGAATCCCTGCCATAAATTTTAATTAAATAATTTTAGATCATTAGGGTTAGTGCTATCCTTCTTTTGCATAATAATTAACCAATAGGTTTATAGATTTCTTAAGTTTATTGATAGATAGTTTGATTATTTTTATTAATGTAGAAACCAGTTACCATCAAGTCAGTTCTGACTCATGGCAACTCGATGTGTGTCAGAGTAGAACGGTGTTTCATAGGGTTTTCAATGGCTGATTTTTCAAAAGTAGATCAGCAGGCCTCTCTTCTGAGCATGGCTTCCTGAAGGTTTGTTCCAGTTCGAACCCTGCTGAGAATATGCATTTCCGCCCCAGCTATATGGAATCAGATTCTACATTTTAACAAGATCCCCAGGTGATTCTTAAGTATAATAAATTTTGAGAACCACTGGTCTACTAGTGGTTCTTAGAATTGGTCCCTAACCAGCAGCGTTAGCATTGCCTGGAAACTTGTTAGAAATGCAAATTCTCAGCAAGGGTTCGAACTGGAATGAACTGGTTCGAAGCCCTACTTCTGAGGCACCTCTGGGTGGATTTGAACTCTGACCACAGACTCTTATTAATACAAGGGACTATTTTTTTCCTATGTGTAGTATCTAGAGGACATTTATTTTAAAAATGTGTATTCAAATAATAGCTGTATTCTTTAAATATGTTAAATGTTATAACTTAACTTCATAATTAGAATTTAAAAACATTTTTACTGATATGTTACTTAAGATGGGTTGTAATAAAATAAAGTAACTCCTTCATATTTCTCCACTTTTGTTTAAGGTGGAGTGGATTTATAATTATATTGAAAGGTGATTTGAAATGGATTCTTTTAAAGTTAAGTGGTTTATTAGATAAAAATATATTAGATAAAAGGTGCAATATTTGAAAGTTTTTGTTGATAAGAAGTTGACCACAGGCACTATTATTTTACACCAGTAACTTATTTTGAAAGAAAACAAAATAATTTCAGTGTATTGAGAAATCGGGGAGTATCTGCACTAAAGTTGCTTTTATTAAATAATCATATTCAGATTCATGGCTATTTTGCTTCATTTATCCTTTGAGAGTGAATTTCTGAATCAGTTATACACTGCACACAGGATCTTTATTTTTATTTAAAAAATGTCTTATAACTAGGAAGTGCTCATATTCTGAAATAATGTATGTAAGAATGCTTAAATACTTACTCTTAGGCATTTCTTATCAATTTATTTCTACTGTCTTTTGGCATATGTCATTACCTACTCTCCTGTGTAATCTCTGTTATTTTTGTGTAACCATTTACGTTTGGAAATATTTGACTGAGGTGACTTAAATTTTTATGTTAAAGATTATACATTTTCTAAATAATAGCTTAAATAATTAAACATTGTACTATTTACTTTGTTATCCTTTTCTGCAGAGATCTCTTGTAGAGACAGCCTAAGTGGAGAGTAAGTGTATTAAGTGTGTTAAAGTGACCAGAATTATCGATTTTTTTTTTAATGTGGAGGGGCGAGAACACAGAGTCAGGCTCTTATGGAACAGTGTCATAGTTTTGAGGGATTTTTGGAAAATGATGCTGAAAACCTTTGAACTGTATTATATTTTTGCAATTCTTGGTATCAGTGAGGCTATTACCTCTTGGTATTTGGGAGAGATTAAATTAAGCTGCAAATTAGAGTTTCCCCATTAATGAATCAGTCACACCTTAATAATTAGGATTGTTCTGAGGTAAGACAATTTACTATAGGTATGAAAAGAGAACTGTTAACGGTAGTACCTATTTGACATCAGAAATGTCAAATTTTCAGTGGTAGAAAATATAAATTGATCTAGTTTTCTCCTTTTCTCTCTCATACTTTTTTTTAAAGTTTGTTCCCTCTGTTACTTTATGGAATTAATCTACTTGGGTAAATGTTTATATCTTTTTGGGGAAACTTTCTGCCCTCTTCCCTCCTCAGGATACTTTTGAAACTAGATATAATTTATACACTAGGTTTAATTAATCCATTTTAGTTTTTAATCTGAATGAATTTCAAGTAAAGCTTCCAACTTCATTTGCCATCTTCTTTTTAAACTGTAATGTTATCTTTTATTTAGAAGCATTAATGTTTTCCACTCTTTATTTGTGGTGAAAAAATATGAGACTCTGACAGTCTGCCTAGGTCATGGAAGTAAAAATCGTAGACGTTTCTAATCGAAAGGAATGTTAAAAATCATTTTGCCTAATGCTTATTTTAGATTTGTGCAATCTGAGACCAAGAGACATGAGGTGACTTGCCTAAGGTTCCATGACTCAGTAATGATAATCAGGATTATTAATGCCCTATATGACAACAAAAGGGAATGTCAGGGGGTAAAACAGTATTGAAACATAAAAAGACTTTTTTAAAAAAATATTGACTTTGCATTTTTCTCTAAATAGTATCCTTGAATAAAATTTTAAATTGGACATTTCCTTGAGTCTCTGTATTTCCAAAAGATTTAGGAA